GGGTTGAGAGGCACACTAGCCACTCGTGACATTGCTGAGGGGGACACACTGGCTTACATTCCAAAGGAGCTCCTCGTTCAATATGGGGCGCCACGGGACAACAGACCACGCGTGAGCCCCTGGGAGAAACTTTTGTGGAATTTCCCGAAGGAACCTCAACTATCTGTGTTGATCAATGGATCCCTGTCTGCATGATTGGTACCAGTGAGCTTCCGTGCTGGCAATGCCAATGGGCCTGAAGCTGTGTCAGCAAAGCAGTACAATACAGCATCAAGAGGTCCTGAAAAGGTGGGCATTTGCCAGGAAACCAGTGCCCCGTGAATTTCTGTATTCGTGATACTGCACCCCCTAGATGGGCACGTGCAGGCTCATGTGACAGTCCTGAGACTTCGTCAGCTGCTGTGCAATCTAAGCTCCTAGTATCAGTCCCTTTGCAGTTCCAGACATGCTGGGGCAGTCCGGTGAGTTGAGAGGTGTCATTGAACAAAAGTTTGGACGTGCATTGGAGGATTTTCCAGCCGAGCAGGCTAGGCGCAGGCACGGAGAGGTAAGCCTCCAAGGTGTGGACTGACAGACATATTCGAATACGGATGCAAGAGAAACAGGGTTTCGGCTTTAGGGGCTAGAATGTTTATATTAAATATATATACCCTTACCCCCCTAACAAATACACAGATGCCAGAAACATCATGTGGCAAGTAGGACAACGCCGCGCGGTTGCTGGGGCAGCAGCGGAAGAATCCGGACTGGCATGCTGCGTTCCTGCCCTACTGGCGCAGCCTGCCCGCCCTGGGCAGCCCGGCCCTCTTCTGCAAGGAGCTCTTCACCGAGCGCCACATGGCGCTGCTGCAGGACCCGGGCATGGTGCGTTCCTGATCTCGGCCTCTTCCGTCGGAAAATATCGAATGGGTGTAACAACACCAAACAATAGGTTCAATACTGTTGGAACAACTGCGCCTTCATTGTAACACGACATTGCTTATAGTTGCAATGCTGCCTGTTCAAACACTCATATTGTTACACCCATTCGAAATTTTCTTGAAGTCCATATCTGTATTGGCGTGAAAGTATGTTTGCAGCCTGCTGTGAGCACACAGCACCTGTTCTAGCTTGAACTTTCTGCGGTGGTGAAGCTTCACGGTGCACACCCAAAGCATTTACACGCGGCTCGGGCGCGATGCTGCATTGCCCAATCCGGTCATGCCACCAGGTTTGCATCACATGATGTGCCCTGCGCCATTCAGAATTTTACACCCCATGAGTGATGGGCAGGATAGACGTGCTCCTTTGTCTGTGAAATTCGCACTTAGTCTACAATCACATCCAAAGGAACATTGCAACAGCAGTGGACATCAACGACAGTGAATCCTCTCAGTCACACCCACTGTGTGAAGCAAGCATTCTGCCTGTCATGGGCAGAGAAGTGAGTATCTTTATGTCTTCGTGCATTTTGATGCGATTTCTAAATTGGTGTGACTACGTCCTGACCCCTAAACCTTGATATAGATCATTATTTCTCCACCGTCGCGGCTTATTGTGCCTCGCGCTCAGCTATTGTTTCTGCCTGTTCTGCTCGGCAGGAGGGGGTGGTGCGCGAGGAGATCGCATTAGCCGTGGACATTTACAATGGCACCAGTACATGGTGGCAGCGGCTACTGGGATTGGCGCCACCTGTCAGCATGCACCTGAGCTTGCCCGAGGGAGCTGCACACAACGTCACCTGGGAGGAGTTTGCCTACACCACCTGCCTGGTACGATACTTTATTTTATTTACTTTACTTTATTTAGGGTTTTAGGGTCTGCCCGAGGGAGCGGAGCACAAAAGCACCGGGGAGGACTTTGCCTACACCACCTGCCTGATATGATATTTATTATATTCTAGGGTTCAGAGTGTAGGGTTTAGGGCTTAGGGTCTGCCCGAGGGAGCGGAGCACAACATCACCTGGGAGGAGTTTTCCTCCACCACTTGCCTGGTGCCACCGCTATACGTATGCCTGCGCATGAAACAGCGAGATCTTTTGTCTTTTGACTTGGGATTGAAATGCCAATGTCTACTCTAACGGTGGACATGTGACGAGCCCAAACAATAAAGCCAAACATGCCAATGGACAGCATGCCAGAAACAAATTTTGCCCGGCAGCTGCGCTCCAGACATGCAGGCTGACATGTTCTGTTGTGGACTGGGCAATCTCTGTTGTGTCTGCCTTTGATGTCTTCGCGCCATCTTGGAAGCAGCACCTCCATATCCGTTGAACTGACACGACTTTTGTACACTGACAAAATTGCTGACTGTGTTGACAGCAGCAGTACCCGAAGCAGTGGTTATCAGCGCGCATGACCCTGCAGAATGCCTTGCCAGAATGCCTTGCATCCCCAAAGTCCGGCTGTCATTTCTAACCAGAATTCTGTGTTGCCAGAGTCTTGTTGCACCAGCAAAGATAACGGAGACCATTCCACCAAGCTTTCGGGAATGGTAGATCAGGACAGCATAACCAGCTCTCAAAACTGCCTCAAATCGTGCCTGATTTGGCGCTCACAGGTCGGAGCGTATGCCTTTGCTTGCACCGGGGGTATGTTGGGCGGGGGGCAAGTGTGCATGGTGCCTCTTCTGGACATGGTAAACCATGCACATCCAGACACAGCCAACGCAGTTGTGCACCAGGACGACAGGAATGGCTCCTTCGGCTGCACCGCTATCAAAAACATCACAGCCGGGCAGGAGGTGCGCTCTTTTCCTGCCAGCAGAGCAGTTTGGGACCTGCAGTCAATTTTGCAAGCAGTATATAGGGATACCAGGTTAGCCGATCTGCAGGCTCTGGGCAGATCACATCGGCACTGTCACGCAGCAGTACATCTCCACAGAAGAGAAGAGAGAAGATAAAAGAAGAGTAAAAAATTGATGAACTGCTCCTGCAGCTCCTGGGCTGCTTCTGTACATGGCTATTGTGACCCTGGGGCCAGCGGGGAGAGCTGCCAGAATTTTAAAGTCAGGCATCAGCTGCATGTCGATGGTGGTCAAGCAGTTGGAATACACTAGCACTAGCACTAAGGCATACACCCTTACCGATACCCTTCTGATGTTGCCCAGGCCTTGAAAAGAGCAGACCATGTGGTGCGCTCAGGGCTGGAGTCTTAGAGATATGGGGCATTCTCCCGGAGCGTGTCTTTTTCATGCTTTCAGGACTGATTGCATTTCTTACTCGGCCTTATGCAATGGGGTTAGGTCACCCACACCTACTCGACGGCTGCCCTGAGGAGCGATTACTCACTGCTGCACTATGGCTTCGTGCTGGACATGGAGCGGCCGCTGCTGGCAGGCAACGATCACATTTCTGGCTTTGATCAGCCTGACGACCTCCTGTACTGTGAGTGCTTTCCCTCTCCCAACCGCAATGTGAATTGAAATTGCTGCAGTGTACTTGCTGGCAAGAAGATTGTGCAGTATCTCTGCACCAGTTCCTCTGCACTGACATGGCAAGTCAGACCCATTAAAAGAGTTTTGTTGGGATCCCAAAAAATGGAGTCACGGGTAACCAGAGGTCGGCAAGTCCCTGAAGATCGTGGAACCTGTGCCGATTGGCTGGTGGTCCATAAGGCCACTCTCCAGTATTGCAGTAAATTTTGCTGCATAGAAGCAATCACCTGGATTTGGAAAAGGCAATCAGGGTGACCCTGCAGAAGTACAGACTGCTGCCCTGTTGGTTGAGGCTTGCAAGCATGACTGTAGCAAAGCAGCGTTCGACAAAAAAGACATGGTTTCACCTTGACTATCATCGAGGCCCTGTCGCTGCCCAGCAGATGCAAGAGATGGCAGCAATGAATGACCTAGGCTGACTGTGCCAAAACTGTGCAGCGCAGCATGAGACACTGCTGTCAGAGGAAGAAGCGCAGCGGCTCAACGACATACTGAAGTCGTTCCCGACGACAGAGGAGGAAGACCTGCAGCTCCTACAAAGTGAGCCCTCGCCATGCCTGAAACAAGGGATTCCCATGCCAGCCACTGTGCGGACTATGGGTTAGGCGATATCCCCTTCGTTTCCAACGGGATGGTGCCTAATTGGACAAATACTGTTGAAGCAGCAGCAGCAGAGCTTGTTTTGTTAGCAGGACGACACACCTCCGCTGTTGGGGTTTACATCGCAGTGACGTGCTCGCTGCCGTGCAGAGTCGTCCGACAGCCTGGATGGAAGAGAACGCGAAATCATCAAATTTCGGATACAGAGGAAAAGAGCTCTTCGGCAAATGGTGTGGCAGATATACACGCACTTGCAGAAGGCTGGTAGAGGGACAGGGTTACATGAGGTTCGGCAACCTGATGGCACCCATCCGGAACTGTGAAAGCGGAACTATCTATGGTTGACAAGCAAGGTGTTTTCATTGAACGACTACGTTTCTGAGGTATGTGATGTTCGTACGACTTGACGGGATCTCCCAGCGCCAGGTGTCTTGACTGATGACCGGACTTGGTGCTACAGCAGAAGCACGGATTCTGAAGAACAGTGGAAGGGTTCAGGTGGCTATTAAGTGAGGTTTTCTGCCCTCTGAGCTGTGGAACAGTGCCTGCAAGCCGGCAATCTGCACACCCATCGCTCACACTCAACTTCCGCGTCACCTTCTTGCCCATCATTCGCACTGAATGAACGTGCGTTGCGACGCAGCCCTCGCTGAATATCTGCAATAAATTTAGAATGGTGAATCAAAAGCTTGTTGCCATAATTGAATTGCTAGAAAGAAAGGAAAAGTCCCGAGCTGTTTCGTGACCGATGCGGGCAGAACAGCAGACTCAGATCAATTCGATGGCCACATGCTAGACAAGAAATTGCATTGTCCAATGATTGTTCTGAAAAGGTGGTCGCTACAATTTTTCAATTAGAACTGTCACCAGGAAAGGGCTCTGACTGGAGTTGGGGAGAGTTGGAGCACGCTTTCGACTTGTGGTACATATAGTGGCGAGATCCACTCCATTTCAACAAGCAAAGGTACAAGGCTCTCGAGGCAAATCTCGATTAGCTCAGTTGGCTAGAGCGCACGGCTGTTAACCGTGAGGTCACTGGTTCGAGCCCAGTATCGAGAGGATACACTTTTTTTCTTTTTTTTTCTTTTCTTTTTCTAGAAATCACTCTCTTATGCCTCTGGTAGTCCACAATCACGATTGAAGCCCTTAAAAGCCTGCTCAAAGAGCCATGCACTTCCTGACCCGCATCGGCAAAATGTTGATACGGTACTGAAATATAGCACCGAACACTGGGCTACTTGCAAGTTGCAATGTAACGATCCACCGCAGCAGGAGGGCATTGTCGAAGGTCTGTGGTGCAAAGCACCATTCGAAACTTCTTCTGAAACATCAGGTGTATGCTGAGGAATCTAGGAGGGATAGCAACTGCCACTGGCCGCAGCAGTGCATGCGGCTAGCTGATGGCAGCGCTACGCTCAATATGCGGTGCCCCCATTGTGCATGGCTCCAGCAGCAACAACTGAGCGATTACCACCTGGAGACTCTTTGTGGCCAGATATGGCTAGATACATCCAAATCCAACCCCTGACCGTCACAGTGAGTGTCAGGGGGTCTCAGACTGTGGTACACCTTGTAGTGCACTTCTTCCATGTAGGTTTGAGTTCCAGGTCTAGATCACTCATCATGACGGCCATGCCACGTACTACGCACAGCTGCAGGGAGATTACAGCTGTTTGCCATGCACAAAATCCAAAATCATCTCCATGCAAACTCCACGTGTAGATAGATGTGCTCTTGGACACGTGCACCGTCATCCACAAGGTCCAAGATTAGGCCTGAAAGGTGGAGCTCACGTCAAAGCCGATCACTACTGTACTCTTGTCGCCTCTGTCGGCTCTGTTTTTTTTTTTCCATGGTTCGAATGGATCGCGATCAAGATCGTTGCTCCAAGGCAATCGCCATTGGTGTCCTCATCCTTGCTGCAGCCTTGTTTCCTTCCGAAGGTGAACCTCAGACACGTCGAAGTGCATGCACAGGCTGCGCCGCCCTTATGAGCAGGGAATAAAAGTATGTCAACATATAGCGTGTCTGAGACGACAGTCAGCCCCGTGCCGCCCCACCTGAACATCCAAAAAGCTTTTCCCGACAGTCTCGAGAAGGCAAACCTTGATGGCAGCTCCAGGATGCAAAACCGAATGTTACGGCTGTAGATGAAATTGTAGGAAATATGTTTGCTGTGATGGTGTTGGAGACTGAAGTTGCCGACACTCTGACAGACCAACGTGAAGAAGGAGCCTGAGAGACACATGTGTGGCTTCTCAGCAGGCGCCCTGCACAGGCACTCCCGCAGCTTGAAGCAACGGGACACTTCAACTCCAACAGACACTTCAACTTCAACTCCAACAGACACCACATCGACAAACCCAATCACATCAACAAACCCAACCACAACGACAAACCCAACCACAACGACAAATCCAACCACAACGACAAAGCCAACCACAACGACGAATCCAACCACATCGACGAACCCAACCAACCCAGGGACTGTCAGTTCACAGGCAATGCTCACCCGCATCTGCAGCCACGAGGCTCCTTATCTCTTACCTGCATGTAGTACCCATATTTGTCAGTACACAATCTTCTGTAGCTTGAATATCCTTTCATTCTACAAAATGGATTGTTTTGCTCTGAGAGCCTGTCTATCTGCTGGAACCGATCCATCATGGACACTTCAAGTGATGACAGGCATGCTATGAAGCCAAAAGCGGATGTATCACAATGCCAGCATCTACAGATTGTGCTACATTAGAACTGCGCCCCTCTCGTGGCACGCATTCGCGAGAAAGACAACCTTGATGTGAGACTGTGTTTGCAGCCGACGAACACAGTGACAAACTCGCTTGCCTCTCGCTTGCCGGGCCCAACTGACACCACCACCGGACCCAGCACAGACAGCAGCACCAACACTGCAAGTACGACCTGCTACTTCTTGATTATCAAACGTCACCCTTCCTGACTGATTGTTACCTCTTTCAGTAGCAGCCAGTGTTGGGGGCCCACATAAGCTGGAAGCGAAGTACTGGCAATTGCACGTCGGAGCAGCCAAATAGAGATTGCTAACCTCCTTTGTCAGAATATCCCAAATGGATGTCATGCCCCCGTACACCTCCCTTCTGGGGCATCAGATTTTTCCTTTTTATAAACTGCAGGTAACCCCTCGCCCCCGCCGCAACCGCCGAAAGACCCCCCGCCACCGCCAACTGTGGCGGACCCCCCGCCGCCACCGGCCACCACCGCACAGCCAACTCCGGCGAGTAAGACGGCCACACCGCCGCCGACCAGCGCGGCCATGACTCCACCGCCGGCCACCAAAAGTGCTCCCCCTGCACCAGCAGGTCCGGCGACTGCTTATTCATCTACATTGTGCCCGGTGGTGGAGTCTTGGGCCAGGGCGCCAAATTTGCTCTATGTAGAGTGAAGGCAGTGTATGTGTATTGAACAGTACACCCATTTTCACTTCAAGTGCAGGAAGGATCAGAGTCGTGAAACCTCTGTCATCCAGAAGCCTGCATATATTCCCGGGTGATGTAACCATGCTGGGTTAGCGCTCTTGTGCTCGGTCATTAGTTGCGTACAAGAGCTTTGAGGTTGATCAACAAGGATGAGCAATGAAAACGCATGTGCCGAAAATGTCAGGGTGTAGGGTTCAGGATTTAAACCCCTTATCCCTAAACCTTAAAAATCCCTTCAGGCTGACATGCTTCTCGCAAAGGCAATCTGATGTGCAAGCAGGGAAGACAGTCAACCTGAACATAAATGCCAAGCCAGCGAATCCCGTCGTGGTGCAGCAGGTCTACACTCCGGTCGTGACAGCCGTTCAAACACAGAACGTCCAAGTGATCACAAAGACCATCATCATCATCAAGACAGTGGAACAAGTCGACGCCTTTGTACAAGCCATCGTCTTTGTTGTCAACAATGGTGCGCCGCATGCCTCCAGTCAAGTCCGTGCTTCTCTGGAGAACCCATGCTGTGACACACTACCTGTCTAAAATTACTGATGACAACTGGGATCGTAGCGAAATGCCTTTACGCAGCACAGCATTGAACATCAGCTATCATTTCCTTACGTTGCCATTCAGCTCCACAGCTGACATGTGCAACACACTCTTGCTGTCTCAAATACCCGTTTATCCTTGCATGCATGAACCTTGCATGTACTTGCTCTACTTTTTAGAACCAGTCACCCTCTACACTGATGTAACCGTCTCTGTTCTGCTTCTCTGCAGGCCAGTCGCATGGAGTGGGCACAGCTTTCACGCAGCTGTATGCGCTGGCTTTTGCCGAGGCGGTGCGCGAGGACATCAATTCGGCCGCCTTCACCATCGCGCGCATTGCTGTCAGTGCGTGTCCTCTTCCCCCCTGTTTCTGTGCTCTGCTCTGGTAGTTGTTTTATGATCAGCTCCCTCCAGTCTTGCTGATCCGACATAATGTCAGTCAGTCGAGTTCATCTTTTCCACCCACCCAGGGCTTACATTTTTATTAAGGGTTTAGGTTTCAGGGTTATTTTGAATATAAACTATAAACCCTAAACCCTGATGTAACCTGCACTTAGGAGAGTTAAGTCTGATGCAGCACATATTCCCTGCACACTGTCTTGCAGCAGGCTTGGCAACGGTATGAACTATGGGTAATTAACTCACTGAGTACAAGCCAACGTGGAGGCTTGGTCAGAATTCCGCCTTGAGTCTGCAGTAAACAGCAGCCTGCTTCTGTTTAGGCGATTGGCCTCTGACATGACAAGTGCATTGTATGGTTTTGTTTGCTTCTTTATAGCACATGGCAATGTCTTGTCTGATCTGTCAGTGTGCGCATACAGTTGGTGGTCTGCCTGCGGATCTCTTCGCTGAAGCAACCGTGCAGGTATTCGCTCAACCTACTCTGACAGAATATTTTAACCCCAAATGCCAGAAAGGGAGTTGCTGAGCACAATGCACCTCCTCAGTCGATTGCTTTGGAGCCAAATTATCTTTAGAGGATCCTCTCCCTTGTTTGCATGTCCCTTACAAGTAGAACTGCCTCACTCGCATCTCTTAATTCCGTTTCTCCTGATCTCATGCGTTGCTTGGGGGCACCCATGCACAGGCGTTTGTGCTTGGGGGCGACACTGAGCTGCAGTTTGCGCGCGCATGGGCCGTTGCAGAGGCTGCTTACGGCTGTGACATCATCCGCCCACTCCTGCTCCGTAAGTTGTCCCATTCCCCTTCCGAAGCCCCGTATTCTTGTGACAATTACCTCCCTCCAAACTTCCGCAGAGGCCTGGCACGCCTGTTTCCCACTAGGGAGCATGATTTCCACAGCATCAGATCCCTGCAAGTACCTGTCAGACCAGTCATGTTTCAGAATTGTTCATTTCCCTTCTCTTGCACTTCTGCCTGAGCTGTATCTTGATCATGCGGAGGAGACCACCTAAAAGTCACCTGACCCATGATCACGACATATGGGCTTGCAGGAGCATTCAAGGAAGTTGAAGTCTCAAAGGGTGGTTTGCTTCTGACAGGTGTCCAGGTGATTGCGGTGAACATCGGCAATGGCGGGCTATTCGTGGTCTTCATCACCACAATTCCAGCGCTGCAGGTTTGCTTCACTGGCAATGTCGCGCAGGCAACCGCTGCAGCCAAGACACAGGTACACCTGTTTCCATCTCATTGCTCATCTGTACTCCCCCAGAAGTACTCCACAGGCACTGCTGACACTGCAAAGAGCCAGACAAGGCCCAAGAAGAGGTCACTTCAGGCTAAGGTCTTCAAAGACTGAATCTTCACATAATGTAAAACCAAATACTAGTTGACAGAGCCTGTGGGGTTCCTTTGATCTTGCCTGTCGAGTTTCATAGCCCGCAGTCTACACCTCGCTTTGGAAATAAAAAAACAAGAGTTATGATGATGCTGTGCAGGTTGTCAGCTTTGGTGGGAGCGCACAGGCCATCGCAGATGCCACAGCAGTGGCCAATGCTGGCGACTGAACCAACACCCCTGAAAGCCCCCAAATTATAGATAAAAATTAGATGATCAATGATATTGGGCAGGTGCAGTCGACTGCAGACATCACACAAC